GGAATTTTTGCTTTGAGAAAAAGTTGTCCTGCCAAGTTCAGAGAGGTGTGATACTTTAATAATTTGCGCAACACTGCGGTTGTGATTGCAACTCGAACAAGCGCTAAATCTCTGACTTTTATGAGCGTGTAATTTAATATTTTGATTTTACTTCAATTTATAACTACTTACCACATCTAGTGCCGTTCGAAGTAGTCCTGCTTTTGTATTTTGTATTCTTTGTGGATAGCGATTTACACAGTTCACTGGCGTGATGGAAATTTCATTGCAACCGCCATCACTTTGTAGACGGTAGTAACTTTTTTGGCTATCTGTGTTAAATTTAAATCCTTGTGTAATTGGTGCACTGGGCTTAACATGTAACGAGCTATTATTTCGAGATGATTTACTAAGCAATTTCTCCAATGTTGGTGTATAATTTGATCCATTGCCATTATATGATGTTTCCATAAACATACTATTCGCATCAACACACTGTGTTTTCATTGCCGTAGACATGTATTAGTGAATATATTGGGAAATATTGATAACAAAATTTGTACTCACATTTGGTGGCGTACTAAGCGCTCTCACACTGTAACCAGCATCGCTTGCTTTAATACGCTTTCCGACGCGTGGAAAAACAACGGGATTTTGTTGCCGAAAATCAGCAACCATGCTCTTTACGTCTATAAATTGCCCCTGTCTACCTACTCTTGATTTGATTTTTTGTTCCAAATACTGTAGTTTTTGCAGCTCTGGGCTATCATCCTTAAATGCTGTGTGGTGAAGGGGTGGCGAATCGCTTTTGACATCATCCATTTCATAATTTGCGGCGTCAGCGCGCTGTAGAATGTTGCTGGATATTAAAATGCTTAAAAGATAAGACTGTTTAATAGAAATTTACATCCATTTTGTAATATTAAACAAGTCCTTACTTTTGTAAACGATTTGTATTGTTGCGTTCCTTTTGCAATTCTTCTGTCTTCATACTAGCACGACTTTCAATTAGCTGGTGCGTGGTGGAAAGCCCTATATTGATCGAAGTTGTTGATGGCGATTGCGACTCCGACAAATATGTTTCCAATTCTTTAAGTGCTTGCAAGCTATATTTATATTCATCAAATTTACGCTCTTTTATGCCAATTATCTGCTTAGCGCGCGATAATCTTCCCAACATCTCTTCTTTAACTCTTTTCAAATTCAACAAGCGATTCCATTCTGTTTCTTTTGCTTGCAAAATCTCATTCAGTGTTTGAATGTCCAACATTAGTCGTGCCATATTTTCATCTACTGCATCTAATGTGGTACTGTTATGTTTTACATGATTTCCAATAACTTCATCGTGTTTGGGAAACATTTCATTAATTTGTCTGTATAATTGTGACGAAGTTGGCCGTTCCGGTTGGTGTTTCTTATTTTCGTTGAAATTTATTTCCAGGTCAGGTGTTGGGGAACGCGCCCTTTTTTGAGAATTTTTATATATTGATTCGGTTTTGGTCTCCTGATATGAATTTGAATTAGTTAACAGTTTAATTAAATCAACAAATGTTTTCTTACCTCCAAATCTGGCTTTTTGAACTCCTCAATTTGTTTTTCTAACAATTCTATTCGCCCTTTAACCACTTCAGTTGGCTTTTCAAGCACCTTCTTTGTTTTTTCAACTACCTCCTTGGGCTGTCCAACTACCTCCTTCGGCTTTCCTACCACTTCCTCGGGCTTTACAACCACCTCCGCCAGCATTTCTACCTTCACATCATTAGCTGTGTCTTCAATATCTTCTTCGTATATTTCTCTATTTTCTTCTTTACTCTTAATCGGCGAGCTATATTCCACATCAGATTCGTCTAAATCTATGGTTTCTGATAAATTTTTACTCAATTTATCTTCTTTGCAGGTATTAGCAATTTTAACTTCCTTTTCACGCCTGTGAGATTCCTGTACAGGCGCTTCCTTTTTTCTCAAGCATAGCAAATACTCTTTACTCTTTTCGCGTTTCGCCTTGCCATGAAGCCTGGTTTGGATACAAAATTTGATAAAGTTTATTAATTTTATTAATTCTATCAAAAAGTATATCCAAATGGGGACAAGTATGTACTTACCATTTCAGTGATCTGGTCTTGTATTTACTGCATAATTTTCTTC